AAATTCCAGTGAAATATATTTATGTTTGTGGTTGTAATGTGACAAAATATGGAAAAGTTCAAGGGGTATGAATACTTTTGCAAACCACTGTACATCTTAAGCTTGACTTTTCCAACTAGGCCATATGAAATGCAACATGTAGAACAAATTCAAGGCATTTCTTCAACAATCATGTTGAATATGTGTTGGAAAAACAGTCTACAACAATGCAGTAAAACAACTGCTGCAGAACCAGCTGAAAAATAAACAGTGTCACTCATCACTAATTGATGAGTTTGAATACAAAGTACAGCTTCCTTTTTCAGTAATCTATCATAGTTTCTCCAAAGGTTTTCATGGTGTTCGTTGTCCTTAGATGACCTATGTTTTAATGTTTTATCTATGTTTTGTTAAACATCTAATGTTTTCAGAACTTTTCTGCTGAGCTGAGTCTATCAGTCTCAGTTGCTAACAAACATCTAGTAAACTGCAGGTTGAATGGACCTCTAACATTCAGCTCTTGGGTCTCAATTTTCTAACCAAGTCCATCTTTGTATAGTTTTTAAATCCAGTTTAGTAGCTCTGAACTTTGTATTAAAATAAAGGAAGTCCTGTGCAGGTCCCCAACTCAGAAACTGGAAAACATCTATCCCGAAGGGAAATGCAGTTAATTTACCAAGTGAGCAAATACAAAGCTATAATTTCATTTTGGAACAACAAACAAAACTTTGGATCTTTTCCAAATAACTACAACTGAAAACTAAGCAAAAACAAACAAACAATTATTTCACTAATAAAAGAAAAAAATAGGAAACTTGATGGAAAATAAAATGGCAGTTCACCCCTACTGCTTCAGGATCTGTGGTAGTTTGATGGTCAGTCCTGTAGTCTATGCCCTTAAACCAGAGGCTGCAGGTTCATTCCACAACTGTGTCAAGAAGGGTATCTGGTGTTAAGAAATTTCAGAATCTTTCATGTAAGTCTGCTCTCTGAAGTGACCCCTGAAGCAAGTAATAATTGAAAGAAAAACAACAAACCCCTGTTTTAGTGATATAATTACAAGGACTTGAATTACTTTAAAATATATGCAATACTTGGAAACTAATGTTCAGCTGACAGTCTTCAGTCATGTTCTCTGCAGCTGCCAGGATAATGTCAGGAGACACTCAAAGATCCTTTCTAGGACAGAAGGCATACTCCATCTCTTATTTTATGAATTGCAATTGAGATTTTTTTCTAGCAGTTCAATTATTAAGATTTAAGAGAATTTTTTTTTGATGATCATCCAAAAAAAAAAAAAGATTTGAGAGAATTTTATTTATCATTGCACCTTTAAGTACAATGAAAACAGAGTTCAGGCTGTTGCAGTTGGATGATTGGAATAAAACCAGTATTGACTATTGATTAAAATACTGTATCTATTGATAAATTTATTTAACCTAATAACAGACAATTTTCTATAGTTACAGTATTCATGTTTATTTTTCTACCTTTATAGAGTGGTATTATTTTAGCAATTTTTCATATGGTCTGGGAAAACCCCTTTTTATAAATGACAGATTTGCATATGACTATGATATTTTAAATAAATACCATATTCATGTCATTAGACATTTTATTTGGGCCATGTTGTACAATTTTTAGTATTTCACTCTTCTCCACTTTATCAAGTAAAATACTTAGGGCTGCAACAACAAATCGATAAAATCGATAAAAATCTATTATTAAAAGTGTTGGCAACAAATTTCATTATCAATTAGTTGTGTCATGCAATTTATGCTTCCCTCACCATGACGCGGAGCTGTATACGTCATTCGCATAGTGTTGTCAATGCTGGCTGATCTAAATAAGTTTAGGATGAAAGAAAAAAACTCTACCTGTAAAAGATCCGCCCTCTCTGGCTCTCGAGTGAAAAGTAGAGACTTCGAACTTTAAACCAGTTTTTGGGGGGGTGGGGTCACATAAATCCACATTTTGTTTCATCCTCCTCTCGGGCCAAAAGTATAAAAACCCTCCAGTTTTTTCTGACTGAGGCTCAAAGTTATTTGTTGAGCAGCAACAAGGTTCAGGACGAAGGAAAAAAAAAAAAAGACGCGATTGAGCAGCGCAGGTCTGGGGAGGAGGAGGGGGGCTGCCTCAGAACCGGTTACTGGGTCAGAACACAGTTTTAGTCAGACAGAACCGACAACAATGAAGCAAAAAGAAAAGTATTAG